GACCGAGATGGTGGTGATCGAAGCTGAAGCCGACAACGAGAACGAAGGTCGCACCGAGCAGGATGGTGGCTTTCATCCAAACAGGCGGCAAGTAAAGGCGCAGCCACATGATTATGGAGATCATCAGCGCCGTGCTTGCGCCCAAACCATACGGGTTGCCTGATCCAGTTCCGGAACCAATGTACCATGCGATCATGCCCAGCACTCCTCCAATGATAGTAGCCATGCTGCGGGTGACGAGGGAGAAGGTGAAGTCTGCCATGTACACCAGGATGGCTGTCTGCGCAGTGATGACAGCCCAGATCCCTTTCTCTCGGTAGAAGAAGCCGGCGGTTTGCGGGATGGCCGCAGGAATCGACGTGGCGATGGTGACAATTACCATCCGGAGTGCGTACATGCCGGAAGGGTTGAACAGCCACTTGTATGTAGCTACAAGCACACGGGCGAGAGCGTTTCGTGAGCGCGCCGATGCACTGCCATAACCACTACTCAGCTTGAGGCGGCGGTACGCCTCCTTGGCATCATCCTCGAGCGACGTCGGTTCCTTGGCCGAGTCGGGGTCTACTTCAGGGTCGTTGAAGTCGCCGGAGACGGGGACCGTGGCTTTCCCATTGAACAGCCAGGAAAACGCATATCGGAGGCCGGTTGGGAACCACATTCGCGTCGTCTTTCGTTCATTCATCAGGCGGAGGATGTGGCGAAGCAACTTCTCCATCGTCGTCGCCGCAACCAGAATCCGTTCTTCAACAACCATGGCGAGGATGATGCCCTTGAGAGCTGGAGGGCCGAGGCTCCAGGATGCTTTGAGATCACCATTTTCATCAAAAATATCCGAGTATGCCTCGAGAACCCCTTCGGTCGTGTCCTTGACGCAGGTTGCGCGAGCAGCCAATAGTGTCACCAACGTTGCTTCGATCTGCTTGGTCAAGTCATCAAACTGCTGCTGCGAGGTTTTCCGAACCCATCGGCAGCTATTGACGGCCTGGATGCAACGGCCGCTCAATAGGACAGAGTCTGAGCAGGCCCCCAGTAGATCGGCCGTCGTATTCCTGAGTGCATCGAGGGCGTTGGCATCCATTTCATGTCGCTCGGGGCTTTTAAACGCTTCCATGATGTGCGCATTCTCCATCATCTCGCGGTGCCCAGCAGTCTGCTCCTCTCCATTCTTCTCCCCCTCCTTCTTCGCTTCTGCGTCCTCTCCGGAATCGGAGGTTTCGTCACGCCTGGCAAACTTTTCGAACTTCTCGTTGGAAGTGACCCAGGCGATATGAATATCGAGCAGCGAGAGACTGGCAACCATGGCTTCCCGGACGGATCCCTGGAGCTCCTTGATATCCCCCGCGCCCCAGCGACATCGAGAAAAGTCAAGTGGGAGAAAGCCAATTGTCGGCAGCATCATCTTATACAGCCCTATCATCCTCCCCTTGGCAGCGACGAGCTGCTCCAATGGCACTTTATCACTACCAAGTCGCCTCCGCAACGCGTCCAAGGGTGTCTCGACAGTCGCGACAAGCTTGCCCATCGTGTCGAGAACAGCATACGACGTCGACGTGGGGAAGAACAAGAGACAGCAGACCGTGCCGATGCCAACGCCAATGGCTCCCGGTTCGATAAGCAGCTCCCCGATGCTTGCAGCGAACTTGGGCAGCGTGGGCCCGAACAGCAGGAAGATGTCCATGGCGATGGTGCCGAAGAGCTGCGTGAGCGTGAGCTTGGGGTTGCTGCACCTCAGCCGCGCCATCACATAGATGAACACGCAGACCATGACGTAGAACACGGCAGTGACGCGCGCATCGAGCATGAACCCGTCACGGACGAGGATCAGCTGCTCCCACGCGACGCTCTGCCCCGAGTTCTGGGCCGCGGTGGTCGCCGCCTGCTGCAGCGCCTGCAGCTTGGCCGCCGTCTCCTCGTCGGAGCGCACGGCCAGCGCGGCCTTCATGGTGAGGAGGCCCCATGCCCAGGCAAGACACATGCCCGCGAGCAGGGAGAGGGAGCCGAGCAGGTAGATGAAGAGGATGCTGGCGGGCGGGACGATGAAGAGGACGAGCGCGGCAAAGAAGGTCGCCTGGCCGGTGGTGCCCAGGACCGGAGTGATGAAGGTGAGTATCATCGCCACCCAGGCGGCGATGCAGCAGCGGGTGAAGATCTTGAAGTCGGCGACATTGAAGTGGTTCAGCCATGACGGCAGACTCGGTCGTCGATGTACGGCAGTCGACTCCTTCTTGGGCGTGTTTTGCCCATCAGGGCTGCCTCCAGACATGGCGACGGCTGGTCAGATGAGGCGGCTGGTGATGTTGAGGCTTGGAAAAGACAGAGACGGCGCGTCGGGCATCGCTAATGGCTCCCGAGGCATCCATCAATTCGATTGGAGGAGCAGGAATTTCACTACATCACGGACGGAACACGGATCCTTAGTGCTGTGAAGGATCGATTTAGCTGCATTGGTGCGTGCCGTGGATCACTAGAGATTGCCACTGGATCAAGAACGAGCTTCTGGCTGGGTCTATTCCGTCTTTGACCAGTTCCTGAGCATCATTACTGCTTTCTGCGGCTGAAATTATTCATACTTTGGGCGCCGAGTGCTTTGTCACGGGCTGGTCATATTCCTTACAATTTGTCATGCTGCCACTCCCTGATTTCTGCGGAGGCAATACAAACACCTCTGCCATTTCTTTCTGTATTATCAGTCTGATTGAATCTGGATCGGGAGAGCCAGCCCTAGGAATAAACCTGGAAGAATGATGAGCGGATCTCTAATTCAAATTCAAATATTCACTGCCTCCACCAAGAGCCGACAGACTCCACAGACTTGCCGGCTCACTGTCTTACAAGGGGCTACTTGCTCCCTGTAGAATGCTACCCTTACATAGCAGTCTGTCTCAGTTTGAAATTTGAAATGCAATTTACGAGCTTGGCCTGACGCTCCCGTTCGCATCACCCTGCTCTGGTATCATCCTCTTTCATCCCCAGTTAGCCATCTCTCTTCCAAGGGCCGGTCGCGTGCTCGGCTTGCGGAAAAAAGCTGATCGGGCCCTGAACGACCCGAGTTCCGATATCTTCCAGGGTGACAGCCCAAGATGTGCTTCGCGTATCCTGGATTCTCGGATCTGTCGATCCCGCATGCAGCGTGCCACTGATGCAACGTGGTACGTAGAGACGTCGCCCAGCAAGGGCATGTGCATTGCCAAGTGCTCTATTTACTGCCATCTGGCTACGACGGAAATCTGCCCGGGATTGAGATGAAGATGAGTAACTCCGCGGGATTGAGAAACCCATGTCCAAGTCTACCCAAGGAAAAAGTACCCACCCGCCAAAAGCATGTGAATGTCAGGGTTTGTTTGTTTATTCTTGAGAACGCCTGATAAACGCCTCGGTGATGAAGTCCAACACGTCATGCTATCGTGGTAGGGCTGTGACACGATGCCGACTCTTCCGATCGAGACTTTCTGTGAGGTGGATTGAACGAACTGGTCAAACACTCCGTGGTGATAACAATCATCAACTCCTTCATCATGGCTCAGATAGGGTGCAGCCACGCCACTTAGAACCACATAAACAGATTCGCCAACGAAAAGATATCCCTTCGCAAACTCTTGATTAATAATAATTTTCCACAACTGAGAGAATGCTGAGAATTGGTTCATCTGTTGGTTGGAAGATCGATCATCAGATAGGTATAGGGTAGCTTGGCTGAGTTCAGTCCAGGACTTGTCCCAACTTACGAGAAAAATTGCTTATTAACGGTCGCGTGGCCCAATGGCAAGGCAGTTGACTACGAATCAGAAGATTGTGGGTTCGATCCCCACCGTGACCTTTGATTTTTGCTTCCTTTCCCCCTGTTCCCATTCTTTTTTTGCATTAAAGCTGTAGGGATGAGGACTTTGCCCTGGCTCTAGGCGCAAGCTAGCGCTAGGGACCACCATCACAAGCTGAAAGTGAGGCCTTCCACATTGTAATTCATCGAGACGAATCTCAGTTTGTTAGATCACATGATCTCACGAGTTCTTGAGTGACCTGGCCGCGCATCTTGTCGATTGATCAACGTTGAGCCTGGAATTCCCGTTGTCAACGGCGTACGGGGAGACGCAGGTGGCTCACATGTTGGTCATATGAAAGCTTACTGTACTCCCTCTCTTCGGGGATTCCGCAACATGCAATACTCGAGTTGGAAGCTCCCACATCTCACTAAATTTCACCACACTTCACGACTAATTAGTATAGATGGCGGCTTGACTACTAATTCTGCAGAATGATGAACGGAGAGCATATTAACATCATTTCTTCATTTGTTCTGGACTTGCTTTTGGCTTGCCTCAAAATGTTTCGGAACCCACAGCCGGCAACATGATTGACCAAGGCAACGCTTATCGTCAAGCTTAATGCGTACATAACTTACACAGCCTTATACAGTACGTGGAATGGTTCCATTTTTATAAATGTCAAGATTAAGAATAGACAACTCGGGCTGTCTGGCCGGTCCGCTAGAAAAGTGCCGAGGAAGGACAGGGATGTTTGTCAATATGAAGTGGCCCTGGCGTCAGATAGCGGGTAGGGATTCGGAATTCATGTCAGGCCGATCATGCTAGAAGGGATTGCTATCGATTTTTTTATTGACTACACTACTGAGATTCGTGTGTCTACACGAAGTAATTCCATTTTATAGCGGGTCTTTCCGGTATACAGGCCATGGACCTGGCACACGTGGCGTGGAACAGACGGTGACGATATGATGGGCTAAATTGCCATCACATGTCTACAGGCATGACCAGGGCAGAGCCTCAGCAGATATGTCGGAATCTCGGGTCGCCCAACAGATTGTGGGATGGTATAAGTAGCTAGGGACGGACCCATGGCTGGAGATCTAGATGGGCGACGAATATTTGCAGACATCAACAGCTACGTCGACGATTTCGTTTCTATATGATTATACCACGTGATTATTCGAGCAGCCTCCTTACCAAGTAACCAACCAACCGGATAAGAACGCTTTGCCCAACATGAGTGACGACGACACTTTGGGCCCATCCTCGAAACAATGGCCGATACATGCTTTACTCATCGACCAATCTCGAGTGGATGATTCGGTACGATCGAGTGGTTATCCCGGAGCTGGCACGACCGAAGATCCCTTCATTGTTGACTGGGTTGTCAACGATGGCGGAAACCCCCTCAACTGGTCAAAGTCCCGCAAATGGGCCATGACCATGTCTTCGGCGTTGACTTGCTTCGTCGTGGCTTTTGGTTCAAGTGCATACACGGGTAAGGCATATCCGACATTATGGTCTGCGGAGAGAATACTGACCAGATTACAGGCGTAATGATGGAACTCATGATCAACTTTAAAGCCGACAACCTGTTGATAACAGGAGGCGTTTCACTCTACGTCCTTGGTTTCGCCCTCGGCCCTCTCCTCTGGGCACCCCTTTCCGAAATCTATGGCCGGCAATACGTTTTTATTGGAAGCTATCTGGCATTTGTTGTGTTCTGCGCGGCCACCACGGCGGACTACAACGTCGCGTCCCTGCTGGTCTTTAGATTTTTCGCTGGAGCATTTGGATCAGGACCGTTGACTAACGCGGGTGGTGTCATCTCCGATCTCTTCTATGCCGACGATAGAAGCATTGCCATCGGAGTCTTCTCGCTTGCTCCCGCCATGGGCCCGACATTTGGTCCATTCATTGGCGGTTACCTTGGAACTAAGGCGGGCTGGAGATGGGTAAGTCATGCCTTTATTTCATATGTTGATGTACATATCACCTCATGGCACTGTCTCTAACTCCTTGGTGTGCTTGAATAGGTAATGGGACTTGTAGCGATTCTGGCTGGAGTTTCTTGGATCATCAATCTGATCGTTGTTCCTGAGACATACGCACCAGTGCTTCTCAAGAGACGCAGTGAGAAGCTTTCCAAAGAGACAGGCAAAGTCTACAAAACCGCCATCGATATCCAGAATGGGGGCTCCACGCCCACCAAGGTACTCATCACGTCATTGCTCCGCCCCTGCGAGCTTCTTGTCGTGGATCCCATTGTTCTGTTCCTTGCCATCTATACCGCGGTCGTCTATGGAGTCTTGTACATGCTTTTCGGAGCGTACCCCGTCGTATTTCAGCTCGAAAGGGGTTGGTCTCCCGGAAAGGGTGGCCTCCCATTCCTCGGAATTGCTGTCGGCATGTTTGCTGCCGTGCCATCTGTGTTGGTCATCAACAAGTGGTATGTAAAGGAGGCTGCAAAGACACAAAGTGGTTTGCTCGAGCCTGAAGCTCGTCTCATTGGAGGTATTATCGGAGGCATCACTGTTCCCATCGGCATGTTCTGGTTTGCTTGGTAAGTCTTGAAGATGATACTCAGTTTGAAAGTAGATTATACTGACTGTACTTCCAGGACAACCTACGAGTCCATCCATTGGATTTGCCCTGTTGCTGCCGGTATCCCATTCGGATTTGGAATGACGCTCATCTTCCAGTCTGTTTTCGCCTATCTCGCCGATGCCTACGGTATATATTCCGCCTCGGCTCTGGCCGCTAACACGGTGCTCCGATCTCTGTTCGGCGCAGGATTCCCCATGTTCACTAAGAAAATGTACGAGAACCTTGGTACACAATGGGCGAGCTCGGTGCCGGGATTTCTAGGAGTTGCCTGCATTCCTGTGCCTGTGGTGCTTTACATTTACGGCCAGAAGATCCGCCAGAAGTCTAAGTATGCGTCCCAGACGGTGGGCAAGTCTGGTTAAACGACGCTCATACCGGATTCACTTTTCAGCTATTCTCTCGTTAACGACTTTTCATGAACTATTATTATAGACAGGGGCATAATTTGGGCAAGCACAAAATAAGAATAGAAGCAGTACTGCACAGAGCATATAATTAGATAGACCAATCCATAATTAATTAGACTTTCACCAAAATAGCAATACGAATATTTAACTACTAATGGCTGTGCACTGCCCTCCTCTTAGCACTCTCGCGGGTGCTTATCTAGTCTCGGGGCGCGGCCTTGTTAGATGGAAACAGTTCAGCCCAACCGGCAGTGTGGTTCCGAAAGTACAATGTGTCAAACACTAGGAAGCACATTTGCCGTGCTACGGTCATCATTGCTGACCTGGTTCGAGACGGACTGGTTATAGCGTCAATGTGGTTTGATGATGCCTCCACTTGAAGCAGTTTCAGCCAGTCGTCCACGCTGGGGGGACCCGACGATCGGACAAGGATTATAAGCAGGAAACGTGGTCTCGGTGTCCCTCGGATGCTTAAACACTTTTTCTCCCCTTTCACCTTCCTTACAGGGCAACATCGACACTCCGCTGCCATGATACGACCTTCCATCCTGTGGTTGTCACTGTTGACGACCCTGGTGGCCGCCCAGCTAAAGTGCTATCGCATCGATGGCACTGAGGCAGACTCGGTATACGCGCCTTGCAATCCTGACGCCAAGGTGAGCGGGTGCTGCGCAATCAACAAGTCTAACCCCGATCTCTGCCTCGGTTCGGGCCTGTGCATGTCCCAAGATGAGGGCTACCAAGGCTTCATCTATGCCAATGGATGCACCGACAAAACGGGCAAAGATTCTTCTTGCCCTAACCCGTGTCCCAACAGTACGTCAACCCCCTGGATGCTTCTCCATACTCGTGGCAATGAAGCTCGCTGACTGACTGGCCACATCAGACAATTGGCCCAGCGCTTCCGTGACAGCCTACAACGTGCTCCAATGTGCTCCAGGTAGTCAGTACTGCTGTCGGAAATTCGGCGACAGCAAGAACTGCTGCAGTAGCACCGTGAGCTTCAGCATCGGTTCGATAATCACGACGGCGACTACGACGGCGAGCACCAGCTCCGTCTCTGCGACGACAACTGGCTCTGCGACCTCGACAGCAACCGCGATAGTATGCGCCGCGAACGGGGTGAATAATAACACGAGCAACGAATGCCCGCAGGATAAATCAGCCGTCGTGGGCGGTGCTGTAGGGGGTGTTTTGGGTGCGGCGTTGCTTGCCTCCTTGGGCGCCCTCGTTTTCTTGCTGCTACGGCGGAGGAAAGGTAAGTGGGATGATGGAAATTGAAGCCTATCCATTCTTGATTCGAGACACTAACTTGAGCTTTGAATGTGCAGACACAGAGCCATCATCATCATCATCAATTCCAACGTACCAGCCAGAGGTTGCACGGCCGCCCGTGTATGAGCTTCCGCCAGGCCACAAGATGCCCGAAATGGCTGGATGAGCAGACGATTAATAAAGCGTATCCAATTTAATCAATAAACGTAATCAATAGACCCCAATACAAGACCACGCAGAGCAGTGACAGACTGCTCTCCAGAATTGCCTCTCTCCTGACTGAAGGCCCGCCCCGAGAATGCCGCGTGCACAAGCCATGGGGAAAGCTAAGAGTGGGCTAATAGAATTGCCGTCAGCACTAATGGAAATGGTTCTGGTGCTAATGTGTAGGCCTCCCTTGAATTTGTATGATTAAGCGCTCTCCCATGTCCATTTGGTTTTTCTGCGTCCAACGATCAGGCCTCAGGCCGTTATTCGAACCAGGTGGAAGATTTGAAACGTCATAGGCCATGGCATTACATACATCGTAGTATAGGTAAGCATCAATGTATCTCAACCCGATCCTGGGGTAGACAGGCGGACTATTTAATGTTCATATCTATAATTAGCTGTCAAAGTTGGATCCATTGTTCACAACCTCCGCATATTTCATCTAAAATTGAATAACATAAATTTACATTGGTGTGGGAAATAATCGAGTCGTAATCCTAGTCCTTGAACCTAACGAAACATGTCGAGGTTGCCCGAACCACACCCTACACAGGTGATATACCACGCCCACGATCGCTCAACAGCCCTCAGACGGAACTCCCTATTCTGCGTCGTGCTCAGCAAAGCCCTCAGCGCCCCGACAGCCCCCGAGTCGTCTTTGAAGTATTTGAGTGTCTCCTCCACCTCCTCCAGAACCTCGCTGTTCCGGCACTTGTACACGACAAACGCGAGAGGCCGCAGGAACGAATACTCTAGCGTCCTGGTCTCGATTCCATCGAGCTTGACGCCTTTGCAGAGAGATTGTGTCTGTTTGACGAGGTCAAGATAGAGGGGACTGAGGGACGGTTGCACGGCCGTATCGTTCTCCCGGCAGCTGTGCACAAACGCTACATTCTCCATGTAGAGGATTTCCAAAGTAGTGACCTGCAGATACAGGGAAGAGTCCGTGTCTTTGCCTTCTCGCCCTCGTCGGAGCAAAGGGAGGAAACTCGAGCGCCATTTCAGCACAACGTCCAGACACTTGGTCCAATCGTCCGAGGAGGGCGTATGAAGCTTGCCGTCTCTGCCACTGTTTTTGATTCCCCGCCCATGGATATGATGCCGGATGAAGTGTTGAGTAATATCCCACCATCTTGATGCCACAAGGACCGTATCAAACTCCTTGGGCATGTCGTCCACCAGATACCTGTGTTCGCGGCCACGGCAGCAAAAAGTCACGGCTGGATCAAGCCTGGGTTTGGAAGTCGACATATCAAAAGACCATGGGTAAGTGATGAGACGCGTTAGAACATCGCACAATGCCGACTCAAACCTGTCAAGCGGGAGCTCAGAGAATGGCAGTCCAGTTTCTTTGCATTTGCGTGCGAAGTACTGCTCTAGCATGTTATGAGCATGATTGAAGTGTGTGAATGCGGTCTCCAAATCACCATGCATCAACTCATATGTGAGGAAGAGCAAGGAGGCAAGTATGATCCACTTCATACTCTCTCTTCCTTTCAGCTTGATCGATTGCAGGGTTTTGATGGCCGAATGGTAGTACATTAAGGATTTCCGGTACTGGGTTGCTTCGAAAAACTCGGCTCCATCAAGAACCTGGTAGGAGCTGGATAGTGCACCAACACCACAGCATATGTCTCTCAAGGCAGAATGCTGTCGGGAGACCTGGGGAGTGAGCTCAATCAGCTCAACGACGGGGAGTGTCCCTTGTTGAGTGGACATGGTGATGAATGCTTTAAAGTAGTCCCAGTCTGCTGCACTCCGGAACGCAGCCGATTCGTATCCCGGCATCGCGGGGACTCTCGAAGTGGAAGCCGCCGCAACCAATACGAGAGGCTGGGCCTCGGCAGTTTGCTGTGGCTTGGCGGCAGATGTCGCCCACAATCCGTCGCAGACTAGGCCCTTTGCCACACACTTCTTACAAGATGGTCTCGTTTCGTCGCATTTCGTATGCCGGCGTCTGGCAAGGGTCAGCTGAGCTCTGTCGCCTGTCTACATCCCAAGTGGAGGGGAATAGCCACATGGGTAGGTAGCGCCCTGCGAATCGGCAATGGTTTCCGTGGAGAGGAGCTGATCAGTACTTACTTGCATTGTCTACAGCCATTGCGTGTTCTCGAAGTGCTGGTCCGTGTCATCCGTGGACGATTCTTCAAGGAGAACACAACGAGTTTCCTACTCATTGCGTGTGAATCAGTAACTGGCCGAGACAAACACGGACAAATAGTACCCGAGAAACTCGCAGTGCATGCAGTCTCATGCACATCTTCGGAGCAAAGTGCAGTAGTTACTTACGATTGCGACCCTCCATCTTCACGTTCGGGAGATGAGGAGTGCCCACTTCGGATCGGAAGAAGCTGATCCTGATTCGGCGCAATGATGGTACCCTGGAAGGCGGTCATGTCTCAGTATATTGGCACAGGCTACGCACATGACATGTTTTGGGATTCTCGTCCCTCCAAAGAGCAGCAGGCAATCTGCTGATTAAGAGAGGGTGGCCGTTGTCGTGTGTCAAGATATGGCGGATGACGAATCAAGAGGGACCCTTGGATGAAAATCCCAATTCACCAATCAGAGCTACGGATTTACGCAGTTCCCTTTATGGCCTAGCGAGGTTTTGACTTTATGTCATCAACCACAAGGATCAGGGCTGAATGCCCTCCCAGACCGTTGCCTTACTCCCACTTTAGATGTTAATGAAGATGACGCGACCCTTGGACTTAAGATAGATTTGCGGTGCTCCTGCTCGACTAACATGTTAATTGGGTCCTTTCTATTGTTCTGACCGATTAAATTTTCCAGAAAAACGGTGGATCCGCGTGTATGAGTTGGGAATTGGCTTCACTGATTTGTCTTTCAAAATTCTTAGTAGAACGCAAGAACAATTTCAATTTGAGCCTGCCTCTATCTATTTTCCAGATCAAAACATTTCAAAAGACCATTTCAAGTTATTCCCAATTCAAAAATTTGCTGATATAGATGTTCCTGTAAAAGCTGCCTGTATTGACTCGCAGCACTCCGGTCCTGGGGTATCAAAATGCTCCAATGTCGATGAGGCTGCCGACAAAATCGGTTCTGTAGCTTCTTCCTATTCATTATTCTGCTTTTGAATTGGAGAGTATTAAAGTGAGTATCTGAAGAGTTTGCCCTGGCGCTCTGTGCTATCCTCATCGATTGCAATCACTAAACCTTCAGTTGCAACTCCACCAAGAGCCTGGTGCGAAGCGGCTTCGCGCTTTTCGTTGCTCCTCTGCCCCGTGACATAGAACAGAGTGAAGGAACAGTCAAGGAGGCACCAGCTGACGACGCTGGCGATGCAGCCTTTAGTGTAGCGAGGGACATCGGGTTCTTGCCACAGCTGCGGCCCAACAATGCAGCCCACGCAATAAGATACGAAGAAAAGGGCCCCTACAACCAACTTCTTGGTGTTTCCTTTCACATTTGCGGCCATGAGCGTCATGGCCTGTCCCAATGGTGGTGCAGTGCTTGCGGCGAACCATGTGCCAGCGACGACTCCCCAGGGCTTGGTTTGGGGAAGAAACAAGACAAGCAGACTATGCCATCATTGGCACCAGAGCTAAGAAAATGCCAAAGAAACATCTACTGTTGGGGAAGTAGAGCGGTCCGATGGTACCAATCCAAATCAGTGTGAAGGCTATGGCGCCTCCGGGGAGGCCAACAAGCATCGCCACTAACGGCGTGTAGCCGAATCCGTGGATGACTTTGGAGGAGAACTTGAGAATAATTTAGAAAATGAACATCAAGGTCCCATGAGGGACGCAGCACACACCTTGACGATCAATGCAGATGAAGAGAGCCATTGAACAATACAGCCATGTTCGAGGGTCGAGGCAAGCCTCTTTCATCTGAGAAACATTGAATTCAGAACGATATCAGAGTTATCAGAGAATGCTCGTCTGCTCAGGGGCGAGGAAGAGAAACGAGCTGAGTCGTGGGCGAGAACGCAGGAGGAATATAAGGCCGTTGTTGATAACCTTGTTGCGAGGGGACTGGAACTGCGAGGGAATATTGACCAGCTTGCTGTATGCTTGGAGAGACTCTAGGTGGAAATGGATAAAGCTACCGAAGAGGATGAAGACTGTCAGACAAGATCAGAACTTGCGGCTATGGGGAAGGCGAAGCAGTCAGCCTTGAATCAGGCACATGTTTCGGATCGACACATGAGAGTTGGGTTGGAACAACTTATAAGAACCGGCCTTGAGGGAGAGTCTGGAGACGATAGACCACCATGCCAAGTCCCACTGAAAGCACCCAAGGTGACATCCCATCTATAGCTTATTGTGTGGCGCATTGAACCGTCTGCACTCCTGGTTCTTCCCGACGAAACTTACCCAACAGCTTTTTCCACGGCCTCTTCTGACGTCTGTGCACCTTTTTCTTCTCTGCCCAATACTTCGCTTTCCGTCCATCACCAGGGCTCCAAATCATTGCGGGTCTGCCTGTCGGTTCTCCATTCTTACCTCGCTGCAGAATCTAATTGTTTAGGAGGAAATTTGTTTATACCTGCACCTGCCTTCATGTACTGCTGCTGCTCCTACCAGCCCCTCTATCAAGCTGCAAAAAGACTCTATAATCAGGGGAGGGCAATAGTGGGGGTAAGGCAGCAAGGGTCATCATTAGCACATCTTTGTTCATTCAATCTGGATTGATGATCCTCAAGGACCTGAGCATAGGGCGTATATGAGCATTCGCAGGACGTACTGAGTCATTCAGAGGCCAACTTCACAACAACACACCGTGCGCTCCCTTGGTATCCAGCACATCTAATTTGATGATGGCTTCAAGCTAGTGAACTGATACCAAGATAGGATAGGCAACAATCAAAATGATGACTGGGAGCAATTTTAGAATCTGAGTCAGCAAATTTGAAGTAAGATCATTTCTCGATGCCGTATACTCCTGAAAATACAAAACTAGTCCTGCGAGAGACTTCCGTGCCAGAGAAGAGGTAAAACAAACCTCAACATAGGACACCTCCGAGGGGTATCGAATCGGCACCATAGAAACAGCAAAATGTCGCTGTGCGAAGGACTCATCGCCCCCAACCAGCCGCCCAAGGCAGGCCCTCCGCTCTTGGTTGAGCCATTCCGCGAGAACGGCGCCTTAACCTCCTTCTCCATCTCCCACTCCAACACCATCGCTGCACCGCCCTTGCAATGCATCCAGAAGCTCATGGACACATCGACCTGGCCCGAGTGGTGCAAGATGACACCGCGCGCGAACATCACCCACACCCCACCCATCGCCGACGACACAACCAACGTTCCGGAGCTACAGGCCCTCATCTCTAGGCCGGGCTACCTGTACCGAGGTGTCAAGTTTACCGCCGACGTGCACATGGACCTGGACCCGGCGAAGAAGACCAACACGGCCGCTGAGCTAGTACGCGCGGTGGAGCGGTTTGAGCTGGATGATGGGCGCACCGGGTATCGTCTGGCGTGGGAGTACGTAGGCTTGCCGTCCTTTGTGAGCTGCAACGTGAGGGTCTTCGAGTTCATCGAAGCCAAGGAACGCCTCGTCGATGGTGAGTTGGCGACGGAGGCGTACGGCTGGGAGACGTTTTCAGGGTTGGGCTCGTGGTTACAGCGGTCTCTCATGTCAGACAAGTTGCTGAGAGGTTATGAAAGCTGGGGCGAGGACTTTAAGAATGCGGTAGAGTCGCAGATGGAAGCGCCTCGTGGATAATGATAGATAGGAAGTCGAACACTTTCAGCTTCATTGCAGACGTGACCCACGTCAAGTCCTGTTGCCGTTGTTGGGGTTGCACGGGGTTGGGCATCCAAACGTAGCCCTGCTGAAAGCGTCCCAAGACGGTAAACGAATCGCTCTCTGATTGCAGACTTTTGGTTACCAAACGCGTGGACTCCGATCATTTAATTAGCACTGATGAGCGTTTAGACTTTGACTGAATGAGATCAAGCATAATTGTCTGCCATCTTCCAAGTTGAGGTGGAAAAGATGTGGAAAGCGAGACAGACGTTGCTCTTTGAAATTGGAATCCCCGCTGTACCTTGCCCGTTAGAGGGACATGTGTTTGTTTATTAAGGAAAGATTTCAGGACGGGATACTATGATGCCTATACAGAGAATAACTTGCTAACTAAATGACCCGATTACCACCTGATTACAAACTTCCATCTGATTGCAAAACCAAGGCAGAGAAGCCATCTAGATTATCTCCACACGCGTAGTTACTTGATGCTTGCCTTCAAGCTTGCTCTGACACTCATTCGCACCAGGTTCTTCACTAGGGAGAAGCGGGGAGCATCCCTCTTCGTTTTAGTTGACTGAGACTCTGAGCTATCTCCAGTCTGACCTTTATTCCAGTGACTCCACGTGCTCTCAAGTAACGACGAGTTACCGAACACATTGCCGATGACATTAACAAGTGAAGACTGGGAGTCGCTGCTGAGGACCCCACTGAGAATATCCCCGGCTAGTGTCAGGATGGGAATCCTTGTGCTAATAGTCTTCTTGTTTAGAACTGATTCCACATATTTGATGTGTTGGCCATTGACAATTGTTGAGTTTCCAGTGACGGTGAGATCGATAGCCCCAACAGTGAGGGCATCTTTCTGGCTATCTAGTAGGGCGCCTAGGTTGGGAATGAGCTGGTCGAGGTAGATCTCACCATCGAAATCGCTTGTATTATTCCCGGGTTTGAGCTCCACGTTGTAAACATTAACGACACCAAGATCGATGTCTCCGGAGATGATGTTTAGGGTGAGATTTCCTAGACCAAGTGTGAGAACTCCCGCATTTGGGAGGTTGAGCTTCCCTTTGATATTGTTGCTACTGCCGTCCTGGCCCCCAGTGAATTCTAGCTTCTCAACCGTAAAACCGTGAAGGCGATTTAACGCGGGCACCTCCACCGTGAGATCCATATTGGGCTCATATTTCAGGGCTCCAAGGCTGACTTTGGGTTTACCAGAAAGGGAGAGTTCCGTCTCTACTTGATCGAAGATATTGCTAAACCACCAAACTAGCTGATTTTCGTTCAAAACTTTCACTGTCTGCTCTTCAACCGTAATAGTGGTGTTGTGATGAACCTTTGCCTTAGGTAGCTGGATTTGGACGAAGGGGGAAGAATCATCGCTGTCTTTGTTGTAGAGGCTTAATTCAAAGGGGTTGATCGTGGCCGGTAGCGGTGTGTCGAGTGAGGTCTTTAGAGCGACGAAAAGCTCGTTTGGTGAAACGGCTCGAATGACACCGCTCTCCACCGGTAGACTTTGATTGTTGACTATTTTTTGCACGATGGCGGGAATTATGACTTTAAAGCTTCAAATAATTAGCCTGTGTGGAACCTCTCACCTCCAGGCACATGAAGTTTTACTCACAGAATTGGGAGAAAGATTACGAGGAATATGAGCAGTCCTGCCAAGTACCACCACCTAAACTTGGCACAATGACGCTTAGCCTTTTGTCGCTTTGTGATAGTCTCTGTTGGTTTCTTATCCATCACATGGTCGATTGAAGAGGTGCTGTCATCATTGGAATGAGTGGATGCCGCCGCCGCCGCAGGTGGTGCCCTGCTGGCCTGGGCATCCTCAGCCGTGCCGTGGAAAGGCAGCATGAAGAGTCGAGGGCTCCCTTGACTCGAGGGCCTTTCCATGGAAACTGCCTGTGCAGTTTCTACCGTCGCCATCTTGGAAACTTTTTGAGGAGGCTTCGATGAAGAAACGAGTCTCAACTTCTCAGAGTCCGTGTGGAGATGGACGAGGAAGCACGATGGCGGCCGTACTTGATGATTCTCGCTGCTGCTGACCCTACCGAGCTCAGTCCTAGAATACTAGCAGAAAGAGATGGGCACCCATGAAAAATGGCCGAGGTTTGGAATTATTGATTTTCACATCACATGTTGAGCAGGGCATTACATTACTCCTCTGGGTGGCTTGACTGCTCGGCCCAACCAGATAAACACAGAAAATGGGATTGTCAATGAGGGGAAACAGAATAGCTTTCAATATCATCCCAATTTGCGTCACTGGGTCAGCAGCACTTCCTGAGCCTGCTATATGCAATGCTACCTTGGCGTGGGGTGCATAGGCGATGGAGGGCACATCATATGGCTCGGTTCAATATCCCCATCCTCGTGATGAGATTCAATAAACATGGGAGTACCAAGGAAGTGACTTGAGACTGGCCCGCATATACATCGGGCTCTATCACATTTCTGTTCTATCACAGTTGCTACCATATGCGGGGTGCGGACAATTGTGGGCAGGGAACATGGGAGATGCCACCCATCCTGGCTTACCCCCCCGCAAATAAGCAGCATGTAGGCGGTTACATGCGTGATAGCTTCGTTCGAAGATGATCCTTGTCTAGAGTGGCATCAAAGAACCAGAATTGGGTGACGTCAAGCAGCTCAATATCCCGAATCAACACCCCCCCAACCTTTACGGAGTGCTGCACGGCTAGAACTTATGCGAGAGTGGCCTCATTCGGAAGAAAATATTTCGTGGAGTAGTTAGAGCAAGGGTAGTATCCCGAGGGGAGGGGTTGACCTCAGCCGTTTACGGTCTCATTGTGAACGAGTCAAGGTGAAATCGAGTGTGCTACTCAACACCATCTCAATAACGATGCCGAGGCACAGCTTGTGCAAGAAGATGTGATAGATTCTGAGGGCAAGTAGGCTTGAGCCGAGTGTAGGAGAGAATTCTAGATCGTAGCTAATCATTATGAGACTGGTGATTCTCTAGAAGCAGTTTTATGCTTTCTGTAGTGACCTAGCTGTGTGTAAGGAGTCAATTGTACAGTCGAGAAAAGTTGGTAAATCACAGGCACGGGTATTAATTGCCTGCACATGAATGAAAGTAACTAAGATTAAGCTTAAAGTAATACACAAAGTTTCAACTCCCAACACTGCCTCCTGCCGTGATGCCAGGTTTCAATTTAACTTGATCAGACCCCGTGAATGCGACTGTACAATGAGGGAACTCAGACCGGAAATGCTGTTCACTCTTTCCCTAATAATTCCTTTAACAATGCGCGAACAATGTCAGAAACAGTCGCGACGAGCTATAAGATTAAAGTCAGTGAATACCGAGAGTAGGGGGAAAACGGGGGGACTCACAGGAGTAGCATCACCAAGTAGCTCGGATGCATTAGACACAAACTCTCCAGTCAAAAGTGTTTGTACATTATCAACCACCTTTAGGAGGCTCTCGATGTTCTCCGGTGTAATCAATGGCAGTAGCTTATCGACAATGCCCTGTATGTCAATCTTCTTCAGAGCGTCCAAGATTGGCTTCAGAGCATCGACAATGCCAGTCAAGTCAACACCTGCCAATTCATCAAGTAGAGGCTTCGCAGTATTGAAAAGACCGACAATATCAACCTTCGTCAAGACATCAAGTAGACCAAACACGCTCTTTAGGGTTTCTGGAGTCAAATAGGGTTTCAGCGCATCAAACAACCCTTGTATATCAATATCGCCAAGGGCATTGATGATTGGAACCAGCTTCTTGACTAGTTGGGTAATGTCAACTTCTGTAAGAGCATTGATGAGCGGAATAATCTTCTCAATAAGCGCAGAAAGGTCGATTTGTGTCAAGGTATCAATCAAAGGCAAGAGCTTTTCAACGACATTCTTGACATCGATCTGGGCAACGGCATCAAGGATGGGCTTCAGCTTCTCAACCAGATCCTTGACATCAATCTCTCCGAGAATATCCAAGAGTGGCGTCAGCTGCCCGATAACCTTCTTTAGGTCGATTTGAGCAAGAGCTTCAATTAATGGTACTGCTCCACCAAGCAAGCTCTTCGCCTGGTCGACAAACTCAGCGGTCAACAGACCCTCAACATTGGTTACCAACCCAATGAGTCCATTGACACTCTCGGGTGTAAGAAGAGGCTTGACGGCCTCGAGTATGCCCTTGAGATCAAGTTCTCCTAGCAAGTCCAGTAGAGGTGACAATTGGCCAACAAGCTTGCCAAGATCAATTGTCGCCAACTCGTCGAGCAGAGGCTTGAGTTGGTCGACAAGCTTGGGTAAGTCGATCTTACTTAATGACTCCAACAATGGCCCAGCACCGCTGAGAATTGACTTGAGTTGGTCCACAGACTCGCTTGTAAGCAAGGCTTCTGCATTTTGCAACAATCCAACGAGACCCTTCACGCTGTCGGGGGTGAGCAGAGGGGCCACAGCAGCAAGAATTCCCTCGATATCGAGCTGGCTGAGCGACTCCAAAAGTGGAGTAATCAGGCTCACAAGCTTTGAGAGATCAATATTACTCAATGAATTAAGTAGTGGTTCGAGTTGGTCGAGTAGTTTAGCGAGGTCGATCTTGCTGAGTGAATCTAGTAATGGACCTACGCCGTTCAGAATCGACAAAAGTTGGTCAACAGAATCACTGGTGAGCAGCTTCTGTGCATTGGAGAGTAGCCCAACGAGGCCGTTGATTGATTGTTTTGTGAGCAGGGGGCTCAGCGCATCGATGATTCCTCCAATATCAATTTCCATGATCTTATCGATGAGGGGCTTCGCTGCTGTAAGAAGGTCCTTTAGGCTCTTAACTGTAGTTTCATCCAAAAGTAGACCGGCGTTCTTCACGAGCGAAACTATTCCTTCGATCGACTCCTTGGTCAGAACTGGCTCAAGGGCGTTAATGATACCCTCAAGATCAAGATCAGTCAGCTTGTCGAGGAGGGGTTTAGCGCTCGTGAATAACTCCTTGAGGCTCTTGACTGTCTCCTCATCGAGAAGCGTTCCGGCATTTTTAACTAGTGCGACAATGCCTTCGACGGACTCCTTAGTTAGAAGTGGCTCGAGGGCATTGATGATGCCCTCAAGGTCAAGGTCAATTAGCTTATCAAGGAGAGGTTTGGCACTCGTAAATAACTCCTTCAAGCTCTTGACAGTTTCTTCATCGAGCAGTGTTCCGGCATTCTTGACCAGTGCGACGATTCCCTCAATTGATTCCTTAGTGAGGAGTGGTTCCAAAGCATTAATAATGCCCTCGAGATCGAGATCGACAAGTTTATCAAGGAGAGGTTTAGCGCTCGTAAATAGCTCCTTCAGGCTCTTCACGGTTTCTTCGTCAAGTAGCGTTCCGGCATTCTTGACTAATGCCACTATTCCCTCAATTGACTCCTTGCTTAAGAGCGGCTCCAAAGCAGTGATTATTCCCTCAAGATCAAGACCGACCAACTTATCAATCAGCGGCTTGGCACTTGTGAGCAGTTCCTTTAGACTCTTCACGGTATCTTCGTCAAGGAGTACCCCGGCGTTCTTGACCAAGTTGACAATCCCTTCCACCGACTCCTTCGTGAGAAGCGGCTCTAGAGCGGTGATAATGCCTTCCAGATCGATGTTGGTAAGCTTGTCAAGCAGTGGCTTGGCGCTCTTGAGCAGCTCTTTTAGGCTATTGATCGTCTCCTCATCAGCGATGTTGAGAAGGTTTTGAATCTTGTTGATGTTGTCTTGGCTCAAGAGGGGAAGTATCGACTTGACCAAAGTGGGAAGATCAACATCCTTAATTATATCAATTAATCCAGCAAGATCGAGCTCGCCAAGTGTATCAATTAGAGGGCCCCCCTTGGTGAGAATATTTCTGACTTGAGATGCGGTTGGTGGTTGAAGAGTCTCGCTCAAATACGTGATTGTGTCGTGGGTGTCGTTCAAGAAATCAGCAGTTAACAAGCTACTGAGGGCTTTGATGAATTCTTTGAGTTCCCCAAGGATGTCGCCAAGATCAGTAATGCTTACGGCGGGCGTCGAGATAGTGTCTGTGCTGTTTTGCCTCCTGTACAGAGCTGCAGCTTGCTCACGCCGCTCTAATTTCGTCTCTTTGAGCAGTTGTGTAAGTTCCTTCATTACATCGGTCAACTCGGACCGTGGAACTAGCGCTAAGCCATGTTTTTCGAGTAGCTCGACGAGTTGTACCTCAACGTGAGAGGCGGTTGGGGGTTGGGCTACGACGGAGGCCCAGAGGTTTCCCGACGCTAAAGCGCCGGCAAGCAGATTTGCGAACCTCATTATAATGAGAAGCTAGTAACCAACGTAGAAGACGTTGGAAAACCTTTGAGATTGGATTGGATTGAAGGCAAAGCGGACAAGGGATTGAACAAATTAATGTTCTATGGGGATATAGATAATCTAAGGCCGCCCCAGAGCAATGGCTTTAGCTTGGCTGCGAGCAGCCGAGACGTTGCAGACACAACCCATAGAACTTAGAAATATTCGTTCTACTTCTCGTAGGATACTATCTGATCTTTCGCTTTTTTGAGGCTTCATCTCCCCCGCAGCTTATTGCCAGGCTGGATCTCCCCATATTCCCCCGCTGGCGATCACCCCAGACTGCAACGCTGGAGGAGGATGCCACAGTGAAGCCGGATAAGCTAATACTAAGCAGGAAAGCACCTCGCCAAACTGCGGGGGATAAAGGTACAACAAAACTACCTGCTCACGTTCCCTAAGTGACTTGATCCGATAATCCTTGCGCTTGGCAAGCTGGGGTTGCTATCCTACCTAACCCAGAAACGAGCTCGTTGTTGTCCCATTGTAAAAGAATCATACCCTGGCTGTGTCAGACGGTGAGCCAATGCCAATAGTTATGCAGCCTTCCCACACCTTTTGATTTTGAAGTTGGCGCGATTTAGAAAATCGAGAGCATCGCGGAGAATCACAAATTAACCGAGGCTTGGTAAACATGCCATGCCAGTTTGAGACAAACTATGAACAACACGGCTGAATGGTAGGTTGAGACCAAAATTTGTCGATTCCAGATGTCTTGCCACGCTTCACACCAAGTCGGGTCGATCAAGGCTGGCCGAAAAAATGGTCACGCGGCACCCATGCCCCAACCTTGCTCTTGTTATCCCGAGGTCCTCCCAATCGAGTATGCTAGGTCTAGATTGCTGTCTAAACGTACTATAATTACATCCTTTCTAAGTACTGGACTAGGCAAACACCATATTGGTGCTTGCCGGCCATATGATGTAATCAAAAGGCCTTTCAGCCTTTCAACAACAGCTGAAATCCTCAGCTACTTCGGATTGTCTCGCAATGGATCTAGATAACAAAAATTGTAAAAGTAAGAAAGGGAGGTGAAATGGAAAGAATCTCTCCTATTTCAACTAAGATATTTACCAAGGGGTTGTTTAGACAAAAGTCCTCGAAAGGACTCATGGGCAGGAAGTCAAACTGGGCGACAGGCCAAGCGGCCCTAGATTCTAAATCATGACGATTTACTCTGGAATTTCACAATCGAAAGATAAGACATCCTTTGTTTGCTGGGGTATGATACAGAATAATTCGATACCAGTACCTATACATAAAATAGTTCATGATGTTCGACCTGCATCATGTCTTATGTCTCCCTCAAAATCTTTAATAATCACGAGGAGCCATAGCTACTGTTTATACAGCAAATAATGATTTAGCTCTAGCGCGTTTTTCTCCATTTGAATTAAAGGAGTAAGAGGGAAACTCTTGATAAGCGAATACTTGCTTAAGGCACTGAACTGAATCTATAGGTTGCGTGGCGCGTTGGTTAAAGACGAGTGAGAGGTACGTGGGCTAGTAAGATGTTTGAAGTGCGTCGAGTTGAAAAAGCGCTCGAGATCCTTTGGCCTAATCCATAATATTTTACTTTTTTTTTTAAGGGACTGGCCCGCCTCATAGCCTTAAGAAGCGAGTTCTAATAGCCATTTGATAACAAGGTATTATTCCGAGCACATGTCGGCCTTTGCCTTGCCAGGCAACTACCGCCGATGAAGGGAACTTGTGAAAATCTGCCTGGCTGCATTTTGGTGGCATTTCCCATGCGGGTACATTTCCCATGCAGGAGGATACTTTGCTCCGGAAGTCCCCGTAAGTCCATAATGCCTAAGAGAGTTCCCACACCGACTGCATAGCTGCTATACCTTTCTAAATGTTCTCACTATACCGTAACCACTTGACCAGTTCTCTCTATTGCCTTACCTTAAAACATGGCTTCAAGAGTCGGCCAACCCGCGTATGAGTTGTTGACCAAAAGCTTCAAGGATGACTGGTGGAAAGACATGGGCATCTCCACCTCAGATATCTGATCATCTCGGATACGTATTTCTCTTATCGTGGAGAGAATTTCAAGGGTCAAGTAACCTATTGCAGAAGGTTGGAGGGACTGAATAGGAACAATCGGATCTCGTTGCTCCATATCCTCAAACTCCGCAAACTATACAGTGCCCCTCTGTGCTGTGTTCTCGGAAGTTCCTCCTTTAGTGGATCGTATATTGAGAGTTAGCCAGCCTGATGCATAAGTTGTTTATAACGCGCAGAATACTGGAGCATCTCTGCTCTATATCCTCAAAAACCGCATTGTGCCCCTCTTTGCCCAGCCTCGGAAGTTCCCCTTTGTGGTGGAATATTCCGAAAAACACTACAAAACTGCTGCCGTCTGTGTATCAAGATATAGATAATGTACTGTTGGGAGGAGGAATTAGTCAAGTATAAGAACCCTCAATTCTCCCTCCGCATATGTGCTTTTAGATATCGTCAGGCAACAATCAACCAACGACCCAACAAAAGTCAATTCTCACATCACTACCCAAAATGCATTTCACCAAGGCGATCCTCCTCTTCCTCGTCGGGACCGCCTTTGCCGCTCCCCATGTCATCAACGGAGATGAGTCTAACAATATAATGAAACGCGAGTTGTTCTCCCGTGTAAGTCCAGCCTTGATCGACTCCTTGGCTTGTCCCAACTTGAGCAGAAGAAGAGGAAGAAGAAGTATAAAACATGGAGCCGATGGACTTGAGAAGAAAGAAAGAAGAAAGATATACCCACTAACAGAAACTTCGTCTTGGTAGGAGACCGGAACATGCAGGGAGGTCAACAAGGCCAAGAACGAGTGCAAGATATTCAGCGCCAGTGCTCTCAAATGGGTCACCTGCGGAGGAGAATGCCCGCAATCTGGAAACCCCTGCCAATGCAAGTAAGGTCTGAATAGGACTGAGGGATTCACTGAAGACGACCGTGTCCCCTTATAAGCCCCGGGAAGCTTCGCCAATGCAAGTAGGGAACCCAATGGGACAGACGCCGTCGTTGACGTGATCTGAGTAATTGTCTCCGTGCTTGTATCAATACCTTTGATAGTTATTATTGACAGCACTGAATTCAATGTGTTTGATATCTTGTGTTTCTAAGGTGATTTGAAATGGCCGATCTGGTTGGCTTAACAACATGAGCCGGTAAGAGTGCGTGGGACTTTTAAATAATAATGCAGGGCATCGTGCTTGCTTCTACATCTTGTACCCAGCGAGACACGTAACCCGTAATGACACGTCGAAATCTCCATGTTCTTAATGACATATCTATCGTAGAATTTCATAGCTGCAGTTCCATAGGCAGACACTGTGGGTAACTTAGTCGTCCGACGCAACACAAACCGAGCGGAGGATTTCCATTGTTACAACTACGATGTTTGTATAAGGTCGTCCAGACGTAAGCCTTAGGAAGGACTTATAGTCCCCTAGTGTGATCTAAACTGGGTTATAGGCTAAGCGGTTCTAAACTCTAGACTATAGCGTTTTGCCGGAGCACATGATACTGAGACCGTTTATGCCCTCAAGACGATACTAGCGTTCTTACTATTAGACTAGCCTATAGCAACTCCACAGGATACCTCATAGATCTCTAACTAATAACTATATAAGGAATAGTAGTGTGAGGTACGGAAACCTTGGCGGCCTTATTATCAATTAAGTCCTAACGTGTTCTCTTTCGTTTTATTTTGAAAGCCTAAAAGCATTTTTTTTAATACTTTTCCTTCGATCCCTTCCTTTCTTCGTATTATACTGCCCTATATATTCTTCTGGATAACTGCAGATTTCTATAGTGATCTGGCCTTGGGCACTAAGAACACCCACTACTTCAATCTCTCCCTTCTGTTCAATACTAAGACAGTATTGGTTTTAATATTATCTACAGCCGCACAGCTAAGAATATCCTGACTGAATTTGAAAACAGCTACAATTTGTTCTACTGAAAGATTCTTTAGACTTTCTAGCTGCTGGCCCTCTTCGAGGCATTCAAATAATATTGCGTTATTAGTTAAGTTATCCCATGTTTCATATGGATGTGGTCCCCTCCCTGTGCCTCGATAAAAAAGGCTGTAACCCTTTAGAAGTTTTTCCTCTGATAGGGAGGACTCGAGTAATAAAAAGACTGTCTGTGGCCTGATACCTAGCTAATAAGTGGTACAATACGAGCCGACAATGACATTATGGAAAGGTCGCTTTTGTTAAAGAAGAGATCCGAATCAACTCATGCAGAATGATACCCTCTTCCACTTCGCTTCTCAGAGAAGTCATGAGGCTTGGGCGAATTAAGTCCACAAACTGGGAAATAGAAGATTTGTTTCTTATTCGACGAACATAACTTTATTCTTTGTGCAAGAGACAAACATGCATATTCAAACTTTATACGGTAAGCTAACCTCGAGTTCAGCCAGAATCAAGGAATCGGTATCGGGAAAGGAAGGTAACCTGCTGATACTACTGTATCTCTCGGAGATCGTCACTTAGCTTTGCTATCTGATTGGAGCCTCTGGGCTCACATCTGTGTCTACCCCGCATATCCACCAGGATCGGCGCTTTTGAAGCAAGATCTAGTTAACCAAAATGCGGGCATGAGCAAGATTTTCGACGGAATGTGATGGTCCGTGGGTTTTTTGGTCATGGGACGCGGTATCACACGACCAGTAGCGACATTCTGCATATTAGCCGCTTCCCTTATATGCGCATCGGCTGGATACCCTCAATACGTTACGTGGCCCGTAATTATTCGAGAGAGGATAGGAAGATGCCTAAACAAGAACGAATCACCGAAGATTCAGGCGTCGTAAAAACGAGCCAGCTCTATTAATACCCAGAACTAAGTCTTTTGTTTAATTCCATCTTCTGGTATACATTTGAAGCGATTAAGAAGATCGAGGGCGCTTCCTAGGTCGTTGAAATTGCCATAACATGTCTAGTGTTAAATTCCATCGATTATGTAATATGTAAACATATTGCGGCCATCAATTTGAAGCGACTCCCAACGTTTCCGGACATTTGCAATAGTGATTCGAGGCCCGCGGGGGTTTATCTGGATTAAGATGTGGGACGCGACTCTGCTAGTCGGTGGAGAAAAAAGTCTTGTATGCGAATCTAACCGTGAATTGAGGGGTACCGTTCGGAGATGTTTATCATTCGCGGCCACAACCTGTCTTGACCTTCCTAACTTAAATCTCTTAGTTATAACTATGTACATCCCCCTCCAAGGATAAAATGGCATGACCTCCTTGCTTCAAGTCGATTCGAGGTTATGTGACCAAGAACTCTTTTTAAGCTTTCGTATTCATTGAGTTGAGTTGTCGGGCCCTGGCAGCCTCCATTGCTGTTGAACTCCATTCTCTCTCTTCTCTTCCGTGACCAAGAACTCAATACATTACCAAGTAAAGCTTGTGATAATCTTTGCTTCCAAAATGAAGTTCTTGACACTCAGCAGCACTCTCATCGCCCTTGTTGCGGCAGCTCCAACAAGCGTCGTTCTTCAAGAAGACAGTCCACTTCTCAAGACGCGACAGAGTAGCACCACCAGGAATGAGCTTGAGAGCGGTAGCAGCTCAAGCTGCCCAGACGGAATCCTTATTTTTGCACGGGGATCAACAGAGCCCGGCAACATGGTAAATCATCTCGGTCCTGGCTGGCGTGTGTCTGTATGCTAACTGTGAACGAAACCAAGGGAGATGGAGTTGGCCCGTTACTTGCCACCAACGTTGCTAAACAGGTCCCCAGTCTGTGGGTTCAGGGTGTTGGAGGAGCTTATACCGCCGGCCTAATTGAAAATCTGTTGCCGAGGGGCACAAGTGCGGCTGCCATTGCTGAAGGAGTTCGACTCTTTAACTTGGCAAACAGCAAGTGTCCCAACTCTGCCATCGTAACTGGTGGCTATAGGTGAGGAATGACTCTGATATTGGCACATGTCCGTCTGCTAACTGCGCCTTCATTTATAGCCAAGGCGCCGCTCTTATTGCTGCGGCCGTGAGCGATCTGAGCGCCACGGTGCGAGAACAAGTAAAAGGCGCCGTTCTGTTTGGTTACACCAAGAACAAGCAGAATAATGGCCAGATCCCGAACTATCCTGCAGATAGAACTGCGATCTACTGCGCTGAGGGAGACCTTGTGTGCGAAGGCACTCTAACAATTGCCCCTCCTCACTTTTCATATGATGATGAGGCGGAGGGGGTTGCCGCCGATTTCTTGGCTAGTAAAATCTAGCTAGCGAGATGCATCGCCGATTTTGTTTGCTGTTGTCTACTGGAAAGGAAGTCAGTCATAACTGAGGAGGCTTGATCTTGCTTGTTTACAGTTTTAGGCTATCCCTCTAGTCCTATTCACTCAATATCATGATGCTTATGGTGTGGTGGTGACTCGATTAAGCAAATAGCTGAAAGGGTAAATAATTTGAACAAAGCCGTGTTAATGGTCTCACCAAGTATCCATTCAAAATCACTTGAATCATGGCTTTTATGTGTTCGTACTTTTCATTTCAATGGCGAGGGCAAGCAGAGAACGCGACCAGGGCTTTAGCTAAGCTGAAGCCAAGGTGTTTATAATTTAACTCACGCGTATAGAACTACTCTTGAGTCAATAAAATAATTCTGCAGTTAACAGAGCGAAGCAGAGAATTGGAATTGTACGCAGAACTGGTTGAGAACTGGCGATTAAATCAAGGGAGTTGCGGACTGGCCAACCGGCCATCTAGTTCCCTGGAAGTTTGGTGGCATTTGAGTCCAAGATTATTGAGGTATAGGGGTTTTCAAATGGCACTATTTATGGCATACAAAGCATACTTCACTTCTATTTGACAAAGTTGTGAGTTGAATGTCTTTTGTGTTTTGTTCGGCAGGTGATGTGATAGTGGTGGGATCTGGCTGATACTTGCCATCTAGATGCGGGAAAAGCGTGCATCCCGAATGAGAAGGCATCCAAATACCAAAATTGAACTGTTTTTTTTGTGTCAAAATTTGTTATTTATTTCTCGCTGCATGATCACGTCGCGTCCACTTCGCGGGTGTGCCTTCCTCAGGTTCGCCTCGGATCCGCGTCACGTGCATTGCCTCGATCTTTCCGCCTCAGGTATCTGTTTATTGCCCACAAGATTTCCTCCTTCTTCCTTCTCGTCCTTCAAAACAACTCGTCAAAGTGACCCATCAAAAGTAAGCTGTTCCATTCCCGTGGTGGTGATGCTGAATAGACCATCTCGCTGACAACATCATTGGCAGAAACGACTACTTGACTTGCGTTTTGCCCAACATGGCCCCAGGTTACCCAGCAAGACGCAAAGCGCCACCCTCAGCCTACGAGCGACAGCAAAAACTCGAAATGAAGGCTGCAAGAAAAGAAAAAGCCCAGCAAGATCATATAACCTCACTTTCACTGGCCTGGAGCGGGCAGGGATGGATTCCCGATGACATTCGCAACTGCCCTCCCTCTTTTATGGAGCCAACAGACGTGAGAGTTCTTAGACCCCTCTGGAGGATTACACTCAAGGCCGTATCGAGGAACATAAGTCTTCCTTCTTTGTGGCAACCCGGTGGAATCCTACTCCTGTCGTACAACGAGAACGGTTTTATCTGGCGCAAAAACCTCATGGAGGCTGCAAGGGATGAGAGCTGGTGTCTTGGAGCACCACGGCTTGAAAGCAACCAATCCACAGAGCGTACGGATCACACAAATTTGGCCGATACCGTTAAAGCGAGCGATCAAGACAAAACAAGAGATGCATTTGCTACAAAGGACCAGCCAATGGAGGATGGCAGCACAGCGGAATCCCAAGAAACAAGAGCTGACATCTCCTCAAATGAGGCATCGATTCGCATCTGGGAACTGATTGAAATCGCATCCATCGAGGACCTTGAAGAACAGATTCTGGAGTTGAAATCCGAGGCTCAACATGCTACAATCAGCATCAAGCGTAAGAAAGAACAGTCCGACAACATCCGCGGGAAGATTGCAGCATTCTCGGACTTTCAATCAAAGGTTATGTCATCACTTGACGATCAATTGCGGCGTCCCGAGACCTCAACACCAGATACGGAGGAGCATGTGAAGTTCCTAAAGGACGCTTCGCAGCAGCGCAGGCTCAGCCTAGACAAGGAGCTAGCTGAAGTGCTCAATGAGGAACGAGACAGCAATAGAGACCTTGGCATGATTCGAGAGATGGAAAAGCTTGTTGAGCACATTTTGAACTACAAAGCGGCTGTTCAGCGACTCGATACAGAATTTAGCAGCTGAAACGGGTCATTTGATTTTCACGAGCATGACTCGCTTTACAATTTCGCTAGAGGCGAAATTTTCTCAGTCGTCTGGGGCGCTGTTGTGGCGGTGGGGATTCAACACGGTGTATAATTGCGTTGTTCGTGTGTGAGAAAATGATATTGAGGTACTAGCAGGAAGTGCAAGTGAATACGGGAGAAGTAGGAATTAAATTGCAAATTACAGTATGTAGTAAGAGTAGCAAGAGTCAAATGCAGATAAATGTTCAAAAATGGTCCGCTAACGAGGGAAATCCTGTCTTTGAGTCAAATAAAAACACCCTCACGACATTTCCAACTCACCTGCTGTAAAATGTATTCATGCATTATCTTTATTTTTTGCCTGGGGTAACTTAAAAAAGCGGACAGGCGGCGGACTATTGGCTACGGGGAACAGAGAGACTAATACTTATCTAGTTCTTATATGGCCTCAAGGCAGTTTCGTGATCTTGCAGTGCCTATATATGGCAGGGTTGAAGGAAATGATTCCATGCCGGGCCGTTCGATGTTTCAAGGGTGAGAGGATGAGGCGATCCCCGTCATTGAGCTTGTCCAGCTGCTGTCTTCTCGAGACCAGCCTAGTCTATCTAATTTTCCCAAACCAAGGCACAAAAAGGATTCATCACAAACGGTCGATGTTTTAGGGCAGCCGTCAGCACCTCGTCCTACGTGGAGCTAGCCAGGGGCACAGCTCATTCGCCGGCTCGGCACGTTATTGCCGTGCGGCATCATGGATCAGACTAGACAATCACAACGATGACGACTTGTGTGTCAATCGCCGTGGAGCAGGGCCTGGCGCTTTGTCCTCCAAATCTCGATGGCCAAGAAAGCAGCTTTTTGCTCGAGATGTGACGTAAACGATAATTGTCGCGTCATCGCCAAACGAATCCATGGTGGTGATACACGGCTCCTGGCACCAGTTGCCTATAATAACCTATTTCTACCCTCGGGAGCAAAGAAACTTTAACTCTCTTGCCATTAGAGTATTAAGTTTCTTGTAAAGACCTGGGAGCATTGCCCGTCCATATTGTCGGCATCATGCGTTTCTTCAATCGCACCAACCACGTCGCCAACGGCCACACCAGCACCCACGGAAACGGGCACACTCCTGTGACAACGACGACACACGGTCGCCGCCACCATCATGATCCGTACAGCATGGAGAGACGCCCTAGCTTTGGCCAGTGGCTCAAGTGCACATGGCTCGACATTATCACCATGATTGCAATGGGTGCGATTGGCCTTGGTGTATGTCACTCATCTACTTACATGAAAACTCAGAACATAGAACTAATTAAGCTTAATTGTAGGTCTACATGGCCAAGCCAGCACCCTCCAGGTCATTCCCCGTCACCTTTTCGGACGGCGAGATTGTGTGGCCCGAATTTGGCTATCCTCTCCGAAAAGAAATCATCCCCATCTGGCTTGCCGCGTTCTTGGCCAGTGTCGTCCCCATTGTCATCATTCTCCTCATGCAGATTCGTATCCGCTCTTTCTGGGACGTGAACAACGCCGTAATTGGTCTGCTGTACTCCCTCATCGTCGCGGCTGTGTTCCAGGTTTTCCTCAAGTGGCTCATCGGTGGACTGCGACCCCATTTCCTGGATGTTTGCAAGCCAGATATCAGTCTTGCCAGCGATCAAGGCTACAACCGCAAGGGCTTTACGAACATTTACTACACCAAGGAAATCTGCACTGGCGATGAAAAAGAGATCAATGACAGCCTGGAGTCTTTCCCCAGTGGTCACACCACCGCTGCGTTCGCTGGCTTCATCTACCTTTACCTCTACCTCAACGCAAAACTCAAGGTGTTCTCCAACTATCACCCCGCCATGTGGAAGCTCATCGCAGTGTATGCTCCCGTCCTTGGCGCGACCTTGATTGGAGGTGCACTCACCATTGATGAGTATCACAATTGGTATGATGTCGTGGCTGGAGCAGTCATCGGTACCGTCATGGCCTTTTCAGCATATCGCATGACTTATGCTGCTGTTTGGGATTGGAGGTTCAACCACATTCCCCTTAACCGAAGTGGCGCATTCATGTATCAGGCTGAGGGTGGTGAATTGTTTGATGCCGTCTTTACCAGGAAAGGAGGATGGGGTGGACATGGCGCAATTCGGGAGAAGCGACACCACAATGGCGCCTTTCACCACGGGGAGCAGCCAACTATCCCCAGAAAGGCTGTTGGAGGAGCTAGAGGTTCCGAGGATATTGTGTAATGAGTGAGCAGAGTAGCCATTTTTCTTCGGCGACCTTGATGTCGACTGATTTCGCGTTGTTGGGTGGGCAGGGTGATATGGATGGACGATCGGAACGAAAATCATGAAGCCTAATTTATGTTAATCTGATTAATGATGAAATTCTCCGCAACATGAAATGAACAGAAAATTAAATGACCAAATGAAAGAGAGATTACCAGCTTATTCTGCTCGAGCTGCATGAGAGTAATACACGGTTACAGGGCTTGGGTTAGCCAACCACAAAATCCCCTCATCTTAATGTATCATCTACCATGCAATTTAATTTGCTCATCCTACCCTTTAGCTTAAATAGGTAATCGGAGCTTAGTGTAGACAATGAGGACTATGGAACTTTTCATCAATGGTGTGAGTCGAAACTACAGTGGGAAATTCCACTTCCCTTCCACTTCATGTCAAAGAGCCTTATCATGCTAGTGAATGGATGAGTGGAGTAACTCAAGTACGAATACCAAGAAAACATTAAATCAGTCATATCCACATTTATATATGTTTCACCGCCCCCTTGTATAGAGATATGGAGGTTAGACATACCGTAATCTCCATTGTACTGGAAGAGAAAATGGATCTGGGATAAGAGAATAGAGTTAAGAGAGCTGGCTTATTAGGTCTCTTGAAGATATTACTAACCTTAGTTTTGTTTCTTAAGTTGACGGTATGAATAGTCTTGATTCAACAGCCGATCATTGTCGGTAATTCAACACTGAGCGCCCCTTCGGAAACCCAAGTTTTTAAACAATTTGATTGAGACGTTCACACATAGTCAAGGATCCTGCTACCACTCGGCTCTCGTAAGCGCATGCCCCGTAGCTCAATTCAATGCTTTCCATCGGGTGGCTAAACGAGCAGGCCGTCTACGCCGATCCTCGACGGGATATTGAGTAATGTGAAACTTGATGCGATACGAACATATCTTCTACCGAGTGGATCGGGGAGTGGATACACGTGATCGCGATGGTATCAAATATGAAGAACTGACATCAGTTTACAACCGATTCCAACAGGCACCTACAACAACGGCGTTGCAATAAGAATCTCCACTCGTCGCTCACCAAAGCTTGAACCAACGAATTAATACATGCCCAGGACGCTGATTTGTTGGTCGAAGCCAGTCACAGAGTAAGAACGGACGCCATTTGCACACTTGCCGGTAGCCGTCTGGAATGCTTCGCGCTCCCTTTCATCAGTCTTGCATGACATCACGTTTCACCAACCTCCAACAATATAACTATATTCTCAGGCAAAATAGCCTCCCCTTTAGCGGGAAGAATAGCGGCGGAAACAGATATGGCCGAATTGCGGGCTGAGAGTGTCTTACAAGAAGGTAATGGCCGATCCGCGACTGGTTTTGCTTCACGTGCCATTCGTTCCAGGGCATCCCTCGAGCGGCGATGCCTGGGTATATCTTGGTTTGATATTTCCTGCAGGAGCATCTTTCTCCGTGTAATGATTGACTTGCAAAAATTGCGCGTCTGCTGTGTTTCCTTGGAGGCCGCAATGTTGTAATTTCTGGTCTGACGCCTGCTTATCATCATACCTCGCCAATATGTCTTTTTCCTCCAGCGACGATGATACTTCAGCTCTTTCTCTCCAGTCACCCCTTGAGGACCTCTCGCTAGAATTCACCACAGACCGGAAGTTTATTAGATGGGCAAATGCAAACCCTCGACACCCCCGAAATTGGACGACGAATCGCAAGGTTTATGATACCGCTATAATTATATGGCTCGAGTTCTTTACGTATGTTGAATTTTGCCTCTTGGCTCTTTTGGCTCTTATGAAGTACTTTTTGGCTAATGATTTATCGTCGTTCAGGACTGCCATCAGTGCAAGTGGAGTGAGTGAGCCCAACATGGTGGTGATAATGACAGTCAGCTCACACAACTAGGCCTCGGCAGCGGCGGACGCCCAGCACGAATTCGGCATTTCTCACACATTATCTGTATTTCTTTTCATTTCGATGTTCGTATCGCTCGTACTGCGCATGATATCAGCCTCAGATATGCTAACTTACCCTGATTTTAGATATCTCATTGGACAGAGCATTGGCGGCATTGTCTTTCCTCCGTTCTCGGAATGTTTCGGGAGGCGATGGCTATACATTATTAGTATGGCGATTTACTGCATTTCTTGTTTAATAACTGGCTTAGTCCCCTCAATCTCGGGCGTGGTAATTGGCCGTTTCTTCAGTGGTTTCACGTCAGCCATCCCCACGGCCGTGGTGCCTGGCAGTATTGAGGATCTCTACAATGCCAAAGATCGAATTGTGTTTGTCTTTCTCTGGGCCATGTTGGCAAACACAGGTCTCATTATTGGACCAATAATGGGTACTTACATTGTGAGCACCCTTGGGTGGTAAGTACATGTGTATCCGCGCAATGATCCCTCACCGCCTAAAAGCTCACATACTTCTTCTTTACGCAGGAGGTGGATATTCTACATTGGAGCAATCGTAGTTGGCATCACAACGGCCTTCCTCTTCAATCTTCAAGAGTCCAGACACACCATTCTTCTCGAAAACGAGGTATCCAAGCTTCGTAAAGTAACAGGAATGCAGGAGCTCCGTGCTCTCAACCCAGACCACGTTCCCGACCTCCGAACATTCCTTCAATCGGCTGTTTTTCGACCCGCTCGTTTCCTCTTCACCGAGCCCATTGTCTTTCTCGTATCGACTATAGCGAGTATAGCTTTTGCGATGGTTTATCTTTTCACAGAAGCACTTCCTGCTGTGTATGCCGATATGGGGTTTACAACCCAAACATCTTCTCTACCCTTTTTAGCTCTCGGTTGTGGATTTCTACTCAGCTCTCTTACGCGAGTCCTCGATCACGCTATTTTGGACAAGCTTTATCGAGAAGGCAAGCCAATTACCCCAGAATCAAAATTGATCGGCTTCTCTATTGGAGCGCCCGTGCTTGCCCTCGGGCTGTGGTGGTTCGCTTGGACAATCCCGCCCCTCGTGCCAAACGTGCACTGGATCGTCTCGGCCACTGCTCTCGTGCCAGTTGGGTACGCTCTCAACGAGATTGACACCGTGCTTGCTGGTTACCTAGCAGACAGCTATTTGAGCTACGCGTCCAGCGGATTCGCTGCCTTGTCGTTCCTACGCGCGATTCTATCGGCTATTTTCCCTCTGTTCACGGAGAAGATGTACGCTGATCTGAATGCCAACGTTGCAACATCTGTTCTGGCAGCCGTCTCTACTGTTTTCTGTATCATACCTCCGCTTTTCATACGCATGGGGGCCAGGATTCGGAAAAGAAGTAAGTTCGCCGAGCGAAGCTTGCAGATTTACATGGAATCTACAGTCGATCTTGACGGCTACTAGATTGGAGGATTGGCATCCGGTTAGACGGTTTTACCAGATAGTCCATGGTTAGCCAGTTCAATAGTCGGGGGTTCACGCGCGTGAACCGTTCCTTTTTCTATCAGCATTGGTATAAAGGGTGAGAGGGAAAATATGGGGCATGGTTAAAAGGGATTTTTAATAAATAGTTACAGCTGTTGGTTTATCTTGGTAATTTATCTACTTATATAAGCCTAGATCTTATAGCTAGATTATATCTTTAAGCTTAAGATATAGGGGTTTAATAATATAAATAATTAGGAATAATCTCTTTAATCTCTAGCTAGTTAATCTATATATTAGTTATAAATATATATAGGATTATATATCTAGTTAGATAATTATAATAATATATACCTTATAATCTAATATTAAACTAATACTAATAGTTTTTTCTTTATAAAATAGCTAGTTATAATAATAATAAGAAGATAAATAAATATAGTATATATAATAAATAAAATATAAGATTAAAAGATTATTTAATTAATATAATTAGTATTTTTATATATAATTATATTATTAAATATATATTAATTAAATAAATAATAGGGAAAAATTTATTAATTATAATAATAATAGGA